ATTATATTATATTTTTCAAAATAAAAAACTATTTCTGAAAGGAAACAATCATACTCTAACTTTTTCAACTTTTAGCCATTTTTTTTTCCAAATTTTAGCAAACACACTTTAATAATGTCACATGTATTCCTTTGAATGATATGCAAAGAAACACACGTATATGAGATGAAAAGTGTCTTCTGTTAATTGAAATCATATACAGGAATGCATATATTCTTGTGCAGTGATCACATTCATATTTCTCGCGTGACAGGAATATGAGATTTGCTATTGCCTCTGATTGAAGTAAATCTCCCGTGAATTTGTGTCCTTGACTTGCTCGCTCATGGTTTACCCTGTGATTCGTACTGTATATGTAACAAACAACACCAGAACTTTATAATTATTTGGTTATTTAAATTACTAAAAAATTATACACAATGAAATTTGTATCATTATTTTTTGTTTATATATATTCTAAAAAGATATTTTAAATTTGAAAGGAACATATTCTAGTGTCTAACTTTAGTAGTAAGTAACAATTCCCATTTAACAATTTAATCCAAAAATCAAGATCAAAGCCTCGCATATTTTGGCTTCATTTATTATGTGATGACATTGTTTCACTTACCTAGAAAAACACTTGCAGTTATACATATTAGAGTTATACATATTAGCCAGGTGTTTATTCTTTTTGTGTATTATTATTTTTTGTGATATTGTTATTTTTTTAAAACAAAATTTATTAGCTTTTACTATATTATATAGTGATCTTTGCAATATATTCGTAAGCCCTTAAAGACGTGGTGTGAAAGGCAAAAAAAAAAAAGGCACAATTATTAATACCAACAATGATTATAATAATAATAATAGAAGTGACAATATCACAATTGCAATGACATGATTGTGGTGTGAAAGGCAAAAACAAGGGTAAGGCATTTACCGTGGGACAAGGTTAGGAATGAAAATTCACAAGATAGATGTTACACATTAAAAAAAATAAATTTTAGTTATAATAAAATTTTATGGAACTAGACTTAAAAATTTACAAATTACAATGAATTAATTATTCAACTTCAAATCATATAATTCAAACCTTTTATGTTTTTTATTTTTTTCTAAAACGGGGTTAAAAGCCCAACAAGAAACTAACAGCCCAAGAGCAAGCAGCATCCAAACAAAAGAAAGACAATAAGGAAGAGGGAGGTTGATCTAACTACTACAACTAAGCTTAAAGTTTTATGTTTCTTTAAAATTGACAAAAAAAAATAAAAAATCTCAATAGCTTATTTTTCTAAATAATATTTTCTCTAATTTCATCTCATTTATTTATTTTTGTAAATATTATTTTTTAAATAAAATTAGTGATAATAATAATAATAATAAATAAATAAATAAATAAATAAAGATTAATAAACTTCCTAAAATAAAATTTTATATTAAAAGACTACTTTTATATAATAATAATTTTTAACGTTATAAATTGTTAAAATTTATATGTAATAAGATCTCTTGCACTATTAATGTATTTAAAAATTAATTAATTATTTTATTATTTTTAAAATATTTTATTTTTTAATTATTTAAAGATATATATTTATTTTAAAATTAAATCATAATATATTATCAATAAATTATATAATTTATTAATAAATTAAAGTATTTTTTTTAGTTTAATTTTATTGGTTGATAAAAAATATTTTGAAATATTTTTTTTTAATTGTCAAATATAATCTAGTTATTAGTTGATTTAAAATCATATTATTGCAATAATTTGAAATATTAACATGAAAATATAAATTATTAAAATTTATGTACAATAATGTTATCTTAAATCTTAAACAAATTAACTTATTTTTAAATTTTAATAATTATTTTATTAATTAATTAAAATATATTTTCTATTCTAAATAATTTTATGATTTAAATAATTAATCTAATAATTAAAATATAGTTTTTAAACTTAAATAATTATATATTTAATCACTTAAAAATATTTTTTTTTTACAATAGAAAGCAGTTGAAATAAAGAAGGACATTACAGCTGACTAAGAGCGTCTCTTCGATCACAGCCAACGGTTTTCGATTTATTTATCTCTTATTTTACATATAATGGATTTGCCTGAACCGATACATGATTTTCTTTTAGTCTTTCTGGGATCGGGTCTTATATTAGGAAGTCTAGGAGTAATATTACTTACCAACCCAATTTTTTCTGCTTTTTCGTTGGGATTGGTTCTTGTTTGTATATCTTTAGTCTATATTTTATTAAACTCCCATTTTGTAGCTGCATCGCAGCTACTTATTTACATAGGCGCTATAAATGTTTTAATCATATTTGCTGTAATATTCATGAATATGTCAGAATATTACCAAGATTTTCGTCCTTGGACCATTGGTGATGGAATTACTTTAATGGTTTGTACAAATATTTTTGTTTCACTAATAACTACTATTCCAGAAATAAAGCAACCGAATTGACACAAGTAGAGACAGAAAAGTGTATGGTCCTTCGTACTCAACATGTATGTATCATTTATATTGTTAAAGTTTTGTTTTTTTTTTTTAAAAAAAATTTTAATCAATTCTTTTTAAAATAATTTTCTCTAATTTTACTTATTTTATTTTTATTAAAATTTATTTTTTAAATAACACTAATAATAATATAAAATAAAAGTAAATAGACTTTTTAAATTAACATTTGATATTAAAATTTACTTTTATTTTGTTATTATAATACTAATAATTATTATTAAATTAATATATTTTTTACCTCAATATTTATCATCAGTTTAAGTTATAAATCATAATATTTCTTATTTTTATAAATAAAAATAGATAATAAAATAAAATAATTTATTAATTTAACAAATTTAAAAATACTGCATCTATTCTTATATTAATTTAATTTTTTATATTTTTATTGAAATTTTATTTAATTAATAATTTTAGAATTTATTCCCTTAGATTATAAACTTTAGTGTTTGCAAATAATAATAATAATAATAGAATTGATAGGATAACATTAAAAATTAAAATTTTAACTTCAAGTTATATAATATTTTACTATGTTATCTTGTTTGTTTTCATTGGTATCTTACAATGTTATTTAAATTTGTATTTTGTCTTTGATTGATAATTTTTTTTTTAAATTTGTATTACAATAGTAAATAAATAAAATATTTGCATCAATTCATAATGTTAACATTTTTTTTTATCACCGTGTACTATATATTGATAAGTCATATATGTATCTAAGTAACATAAGTGAAAAAATTATATTAAATCCAAAGTTATAAGACGGGACAAAATTATAGTCATAGTCAAGATCATTAATTTAAAGATGAGATCATGACAAGTGTGAAGGGTTATGAAGCTTTTCCTCATGCAAACAACAATACTTATAGCTTAGGATAAGGTTGATGCACCATGACTTTAATGTGAATTCATGGGGACAAAACAACTCAAAAGAAAGGATGAATGTAACCTTTTAATTCTTTTGACAAATGCTTTAAATTTGCCCAAATAAGTATTAATACTAGTGTATGAGTCAAAGCTAGTTTCAAAATCTTAAAGAAGAAATTGGGGCCAAAAGATATCTAATTGTTGTTGTGCATCCATTGGAAACAAGAATAGGCCAGCTTGTCTAAGTAGAAAGAAGCAACAATAATACATTCTTCAACTGGAGTTTTACGTAAGTTAAAATTTGTGAGATCTTGAAGATTTAGTCTAGATCAATGCCATCAAAATGAAAGCAACAAACAATTGTGTACAGTATATTGTATTTTAAAGAAAAGTCACTTTATAGAACAAATAATAGGAAAGAGAACTTTATATTTTTTATTAATAAATGTAAATATATCTTTTTAAATAATCAAGTTTGTTGGAAACACAATTGTATTTCTTGTGACGGATTTAATTCAAGTGACGAATTAGAGAAAATATTGGCTCTATTAAAACTTTTTGAACTCTCTTCTTAACTGTTCCTATAATTCAATTAATAAATATATCCTTTCAAATAATCAAATTTTTTTGAGAGACATACTTGTATTTCTTGTGACGGATTCAATCCAAGTGACGGATTAGAGAAAATGTTGGATCTATTAAAACTTAACGAACTCTCTTCTAAACCATTCCTATAATTCAATTAATAAATATATCCTTTCAAATAATCAAGTTTTTTTTTTTGTGACACGCTTGTATATTTCTATTGAAAGATTCAATCCAAGTGACAAAAAAATAATCAAGTTTTTTTTTGTGACACACTTGTATATTTCTTGTGAAAGATTCAATCCAAGTGACAAAAAAGTGTTAATTTTATTAAAACTTGAAAGACTCTTTAAAATATTTTTTTTCAAGTAACAAATTCTCAACGATATGCTTAACTAAAACTAGACTTAGAGTATATTTGTCATATGTAATTATGAGTTAGATAAGTTAACTAATTTTTAAATTGTCTGTAAAATAACATTGGACAGCATAAATAATTACTTAATCATAACTTCAAATTTCTAAACTACAATTAATTTTCAAATAATTATCATTTAATATATTTTAGTTATTTATCATCTTAAAATTATGATAATAGTTTTTAATGTTATTGTTATTTTAAATTTTTTTATCAAATGAAATAATATAAATAGATTCATATTATAATTTTAATGATTTTACTTGTAAAAAATGTTATTTTAATTTATCAAATTAGTATATCTATGATCTGGCGATGTTAGTAAAGCCATTCAACACATGTATGGAATGACAAGAACTATGAATATTGTGAACAATTAATTTATTAGTTACGGCATCAAAATAAAATATTCCAACCAACAACAACAGTGTTTCTACTGGAAATGCTGAAACTCCTTAAATATTTAGATTAAACCCTTCTCTCCACTTTATCAGCTAGAATGATACTGTAGAAACCCAAAATAAAGGGTAGAAAAAGAAGCTGTACATTTTTTTACAAATACTGGAAGAAGTAAGATGATTTAAAAACAAAATCATAGTTAACTTTGATTCATTTACCAATAACCTTTACAAGAGCATTCACCGTCTTTAAAATGATGAAACCTGTTTCTGTCTCTAACAAAAATTTCTGTGTTAAAAATTTTGGATATCATTTTTGCTACATTATGGCAATCCCAACAAATCCTCAGGTTCATAGCAACCCTAATGGGAACCCCTTTCAAACTAATTAATCCAAAGGCAATAGCTACCTTTTCACTATGTTTACCCAAAGCATCCTCTTTCTCCTCTTCTTCTATATCAAAAAGCACATGATTAGTGTTAGCCACATACCCTGCTAATCTAAGACACCTAGAGATTTCTTCTAGCTTTAATTCAATCTCATCATATCTTGAATGAGACTTGTCCCCAACAAAAAACTCGTGAACTTCACCATTAACTTCTATGACACTACAACCAGGGAGCTTCTTCACACCTTTAGCTTTCATGGTCTCCCTCAAACTACTAACTTTTTCCCAATTCTTATAATCAGCATATATATTTGATAAAAGGACATAAGCACCATCATTCTTGTCTTCTAGTTCCACTATTTTTTTCAGTGCAAGCTCACCCATTTCTCTATTTTTATACATCCTACAAGCATGAAGCAAGGCGCTCCATGCACCAACATGAGGTTTCATAGGCATGCTATTGATGAAGTCTAAAGCTTCCTCAAGACACCCTGCTCTACCATATATATCAACCATTAAGCCATAGTGCTCAAGTTGTGGATCAATCCCATAAAGATTCCTCATTGAGTTGAAATGCTTTCTACCCTCCTCCACCATTCCAACCACACTGCACCCTTTCAAGACAGACAGAAAGGTGACTTTATTTGGCTGAACTCCAACTTGTTTCATAGAGGAAAAAAGATTTAGACTCTCCTCACCAAGACCATTCATGGCCAATCCACCAATGGCACTACTCCAAGTGTAAACATTCTTTTCCTTCATTCCCCAAAATACTTCCATGGCCTTATCAATGCTCCCACATTTTGCATACATGTCAATGAGTGCAGTTCCTAGTGTGACTGTCATCCCAAGCTTGTACCTCTCCACATATGAATGAACCCACTTTCCCTGATCCAATGCTCCCAAGTGGGTACAAGCAGACAATGCTGAAACCATGGAGACCTCATTAAGCTTGACACCCTCCATTTGCATCAAGTGGAACATATTTAAAGCTTCCCTTGACCTTCCACATTGTGCATACCCTGCAATCATTGCATTCCATGCAATAGGATCTCTTTGAGGCATTTCATCAAACATCTTCCTTGCAAGCTCAAAATCACCACATTTAGCACAAGCATGCAACATGGCCGTTTGAGAAACCAAGTCTGGCTCAGCAATCCCTTCAAACACTCCATGGCACGAATTAAGACAACCCATTTCAGCATACATGAAAATCAACCCGGTTTGCACGTGTGGGTCATGCTCAAACCCGTGCTTTACGAGTGCACCATGAACAGACAAACCAGTCACGTGCACCTGAAGCTGAGCACACGTGCGAACCAAGAAGTTGAAGGTGTAGTTATCAGGGTGGAGACAGTGGGAATGGAGAATCTTGGTGTAAAAATAGAAGCTTTTGTGGGGAGAGGGGCTCTTGGAGTAGGCTCTGATCATGGAGTTGAGGGTAAAGATGGTGGGGTGGTCACATTGGTTAAGGACATGGTTGGCATAGTCAAGATTGGAAGGGTTGTGAATGGCTATGGTGGCAACGAATTGGCCATGGATGGGAGGGTGGTTGAGGATGCCTTCAACAACCAACTTGGCGTGTATTTGCTTCAGTTCTTTCAATTTGGTGCATGATTTTACGAGTGAAATGGTGGAGTGCTTTGCAATGCTTTTCATATGTTATTTGGCTATATGATGGTGCAGAGGTGCTGACACTGGGAAACAGAAAAAATATTTGGTGCTCTCCTGGTTTTGGATTAATCAGAAATGGTCAAATAATCGGTTTCAAGACCTATTAATTCCATTTTTAAAATGATGTGTTTTCCTTTATTCATTAGTTAATCATATTTTATCCCAAACATATTGCTAATACAATTGGAATCTGTCTTTCCTTTTATTCCTGTCATAATTAATTAATAACTATAGGATTATTTGTCATATATTATTATTATTATTATTATTATTGTTGTTGTGTAAAGTTGCTAGAGTATTGTATTCTTATAATAACTCAATGAGCGATGTTTTAGAGTTTGGACACTATAAATCTATAATGGCTTTGTTAAATATAGAATACAAATAATGTTAAGAATTGTAATTTTGAACTATGTTCTAATTCAACCTTTCAGAATGTCTTCAGGAAGCCAAATGGCACAAAAAAAAGTCATATGGGGACAATTATATTTCTTTTTGGGGCTATTACTACAAGGTATGTTCTGCTAATCTTCCATTTCATTACATTGTTGTTGCTGTTGTCAGGCAAAATTCTCCTGTATTCTTTGCGGATCTTCTTATTCATAGTAATTTAGTATAGGTTTGGTATCTATGTAATAACATATGAATAATTCAGTCCTTCTTTTGTGTGCTGATAAAGTAGCATTAGTTTATATATATTAGATCTTAAGAGGAATAATCAAATTTAAAACACTGAAGTTATGTAAATTTCTTTAAAAAATATGATTTTAAGTGCTTTTATTATTATTATTATTATTATTATTATTATTATTATTTAATTTTAACAATTCATGTATAGTTGTATGACTTAACTTTTTTTTCTTCTTACTCTTCTATAAAAATAACTTTTTTTTTATTTGGGTCGATTATTGAATTGATGAACGTATTAATTTACGGTTCAACTAAGGTTGAACTGATAATAATTAAATATATTTTTATATAATATATTAAATTAAAAATTAATATAATAAAGTAATATTTTAAATTTATGTTAATTAATTTTTTACCATATTTAATACCAAACATATTTTTTTTACTATATATATATATATATATATATAAATATTTCGTTATATTAAGTTAATTTTTTTATTATATTCAAATAAAATAATATAATAGATATTAGAATATATATAGTGATTAAAGGCTTTACTTTCAAAACAAGAGATGTGGGGTGCATGATTGAGTCTCAGGAGAAGCTAAGTTTCATTTTATTTTTAGCTTTATCAAAATCGATTAAGGGATGAATCAATTTGGTTCTTACTGCTTTCTTAGTTTTGAGTCAGTTTAACAATTTAGAGATTAGTTCTTGAGTTATTGGTTATACAGGCTTGACCTAACCAGTCATTCTCCATTATTATAGTATAGTGACTTTCTTTTTCTTGAGGGGAGTCTTCTCCTTTGTGAAGGTTTTTCTTCTCTTCTTTTTTGAATTTTTTTCTCTTTTATGAGAGTTTCTACTCTTATTTGGTGGCTTTTTTTGGAGTTTAGTTTGTTGGATTTTTCAGTTTTAAGAATGCTAAATTAATAGATATAAACATGCATGTATGATTTTCTTTTTGTATATATATTGTGCATAATTGTAATACTCTATCTATTTAGTACTATTGATTGCAAGTGCCATTAGACATTTTATGTATGAACTTTTTTAGGAAGTTGTTACTTTTGTTTACCTTATTAGACTTTTATGTTTTGGTTATTTCTAATGCAGTAGGTTTGATATTATGATGATTATTGTACATGTTATTTTCTTTATGTTATTGATATTTTCGCAATATAGTGTGATAATTAAGCAAATTTTTGACTTTTAGTTACTTAAGTCATTAGCAGAATTTGAAAAACAAATGTTGTTTTTACTGGTTTTGAATCTGGTCCATTTGTTCTACATAATGATATGTTTTGATGATAGAGTATTGGTGATAGATGATCTGGTTTATTTATAGAAATAGTAATTGGTGTTTTTGTTAATGCCTAATAATACTATCTCTTACTTCTATCGAATTTTAACGAATTGGAGGAGATTTTTGTAAAGTGAGGACCATAGAGTTGTATGCTTGAAGCTATGAAATTGCTTACAAATCTTCATGGTAGAAAACAATCATGATTATTAGTTTAAACTCTAGATATACAGGTTCATTTATCAAGGACTATTCCTTATAGAATTTAGTAGTTATCATGTTTTATAAGGTTTGGAGTTGCTTGTTCCAATTACAATAATAGTTATTTAACTTAATCATTTTTAGATGGAATTTAAATTTTTGCTTGTCAATTTTATTTTTTTTAGTTTTTATTCATTAATTTTAGCTAACAATCTATTAAGGTTAGAAAGAATGGTTACTTTGTTAAATCTTTAGGCTTTATCTTTTAGTCTTTCTATCTTTACTTTTGTTACTAATTTTATAGTTATATTTTTATATTTGTATTTCATTTCATTTTATATATATTTTTTCTATACAATGAGGCTAAAAGCCCAAAGAACAAAACAGACTAGGAAAAAGTCTTACCAAACTAGCTGCCACTAACATCTAAACAAAGAAAAAAGAATAACACATGGGAACCAACATCAAAACAAGAGAATGGTAAAGAGTTCTCAAGGCCTAACTTAGCTAATCTATCAGCACAAGAATTAGCTTATCTGAAAATGTGGACAAATATGATAAATTTGATGGATTTAATCAAATTCCTAATGTTATTAATTGAGTGAATTAGAAGATGATTAGGATGTTGAACATTCAAAACAAGAGAAAGGGCCTCTTTGAAATCACACTCCACCCATATAGTATGAATATCTTTCACGGAAACTAATTGAAGACTAAAAAACAAGCCTAAAAATTTAGAAACAAGGGGGAAATACCCCTTAAGATTGCTATAAAAATTAGAGATGAACTTGCCATTGCTATCTCGAATAATCCCACCATAGGAAGCTTCTTTAGAGGATAAGGAAGCAGCATCATTAATGTTCAACTAATTTGATCCTTAGTAATCTTAAGGAGGGACTTGAGCTTATTCGTGCAATAATTAAACCAGAAATCAAAACCACCCAGAATTTTATATATGATTTGATGTGGGAGGGAAGAGGCAGATTGAAAAATAAAAGTATTTCTATCTTTCCATAAATGTCAACTGATTGTACCAAATAAACTAGACCAATCAATAAATTTACTAATCCTATTGTTAGATAAGTTAAAAAACAACCAGTCTGTAACACCCAAACTGTAAAATTGAGCCTATTGGTTAGGAAAAATAAAATGCTTTTAGACTTGCCTAGTATAAAACAGTCTCTGAGTACATGCATAATGGTTTCAGGAGCTTCACTACATGTAGGACAAAGGAAGGAATCAGTCATATTCCTAGAATACTTTTTCTCATTGGTAAGCAGCTTACCATGAGCCAATATCCAGAGTAAAAAGGCTATTTTTGGAAGCCCTTGCCACTTCCAAATAGATTGAAAAATATACTGATTATAGTTATGACTATGGTTAGAATTAAAACACAATTTGATTTTAATTTCCAGAGGCTTCAGAGGCTATTTTATCCTTAATTAGAGGGACTAGTCTCTCTATACATAAAACAAAGAGATAGAGGGATCAAGGATCCTCTTGACGAATACCCCTAGAGGGGTTGAAAGGCTGGGACAACACATTATTGATATTTAAGTACAAAGAATGAGAGGAAATACAATGCTGAATCAGATGCACAATATCAGAACTTAGACTAGCAAGATTTAAGGAATCAATTATAAAGCTCCATCTAAATTTATCATAAGCTTTCTCCAAATCAAGTTTGATAATCATATATGCATTCCTACCTTCAAGAGAATGAAAAGAATGTACTAATTCTTGTAAAATCAAGGAGTTATCTATACCCTACCAGCCATGAATAAAACTAGTTTGATTAGGGAAAATTAAAGCAAGGAGAAAGTCTTTAAGTCCGTTAGCAGTTATTTTAGTTATAATTTTATAGCTAACATTACACAAAGATATAGGCCTAAAGTTTTTAATATACTAAGGGCTCTCAAATTTTGGAATAAGGGTAATACAAGTTTCATTGACCTCGCAATTTTAGATGGCTTATGGAACATATCCAAAACAAAATTATAGATAAATGGACCTAGAAAATTCCATTGAAATTTAAAAAATAGAGCATGGAGATCATCAGAACTAGGAAGTTTAAAATTACTTATACTAAACAGAGAGGTCATCACTTCTTCTAAGGTAATAGGGGAGGATAATCTATCATTAGCTTCTTGATCAAGATGAGGGAAGTAAATACTACTGTGGAGGGCATAATCAGCAGGAAGAGAGTCATAATATATATTCTAAAATAACTAAGTACAATAAGTCTAATTTTAGTAGGATCATATTCTCATCTATCCTAGTCTTTTTTTTAAAAGCTTCAATTCTATTTTTATGTCTTCTAGAAATAGCAGCTCTATGAAAAAATTGTGTTTTTATCCTCCAAAGATAAGCAGTTGGTTCTATAATGATGATACCATAATGATTCTTCCTATTCTAGTATTATTTGGTAATCCTTCTAGAGGGAGGGAATTTATTAAATTGGTTAGGAAAGAGTTATTAACAATACCTAATTTGCAATAGATTTTATTAATTCTATTAATTAAACGCTTTTTCTTAGGAAAAATATGACTAAAGGTGTCCTGATTCCAATAAAAAAAACATTAAGCTTGAATCTAGACACATTATGAGACCAAGATTTTGAAGGAATCCAAGAGTTTCTAACTTGATTTATAAAGTACTCATGAGAAAGTCAAGCAGCTAAGAATTTAAAAATTTTACTATAATGTATATCATTATCCTTGCTCCTAATCTACAACCAAAGATCAACATGGTGAGACTTAAATCAACTTAGATCATCCTACTAATATTTCCATGCCAACCACAAATAATCCCCATTTTACTATGATGTATATCATTATCCTTGCTTCT